GTTCAAAGGAGACTGGGTAGCAGAATCCACATCTAGAAAACTTTTGGAGACCATCGGTCAAACCTACTACACAGCAAGCTTAAGGCCAGACTTCAGTTCATTACCAATTCTGACTCAGCAAAGGCAGGATCCCAAGGTCAAGTAGTTCATTCTATGTATACTCTCTCTTGTCCGTGTCGGACAAGATATATCGGAACACGGACCGTCACTCCTGCCCTATCGCCAAACACATGTATGGCCAAGCGGTCAAACTCAGTATATCGCTACCTATTTGGAGCCCACGATCTTCCCTTAGATTGGCATGTCTTAAGTACGCATATAGTTACAGGTCGGTCAACAGGCAGCACTAGCCCGAACATTAGACCGTCGCGATCGACATCTGTTGCTTATTGGAAACCCGTCTGCAAGACCCGAGCTTTGAGGTCGCGCTGTGATCCGTGTCAGGTGACAATAGCAGTGCTTTCTCATTGCGACTATCCAGAGACGATCCAGCTTCGAGTGCCAGCCAAGCCGAGGTTGGTATTGCCCTCAGTGCCCTGGTGAAACTGTTCTGGTTGTTTGGATCCCAATAAATAGCCGGATCGCTTAAAGTTTCGAAGTCGCGCTGGGTTAACAGTTGTCTGTTTCACAATGCTACCTACGCACCCACAAAGTGTAGTAATGAAAGGGTAAAAGACGACTTCTATCGCCGACTGAACGAGCTCCTTCGTCAAAGAAGTAGCACGAACACTGCAGTGCTAGCTGGGGATCTGAACACTTAAGTTGGAAAATTGTCCACTGATGAGCTGCATTTGGGCGGCCAACATAGTGTAGGTTCTCGTAATGACAACGGTGAACAATTACTTCGTTTGTGGGGAGATGTTTACTTATTTCTTGCGAGTAGCCGCTGGAGAGTGACATGGCGCCCACTAGCTTTAGAGCAGCCTTAGAGATAAATCCACCACTGTTCAGCTGAACAAATATGGTCCGAGAACTAAAGTGAGAAGGATCGCTTGCCACGACTCACATCGCAAGAAAAACAATTTATGACGGCAAGATAGTGGGGTTAAAAGCAAAGAGGAGGTAAAGAAAAGAAAGAGAGGTAAAAGTAAAAAGAAAGTGCGTTAAACTAACAAGAATGCATCGGAAATAAACAACCAGATGCAACAAACCGGTTGCAGGAACGCCAGTGACTGCGCTATGCATGATACGGTCTCCAACTATTAGTGTGGACCATCCCAAGGCAAACATCCACGAAGACGGCACGCACCAGCCTGACCAAGTCACTCAATCAATTTTTTCATGCCTTTATGGCATGTCAGACTGGGAACCTCGCGGTTTTGCCCAAGCTGGTGCAGCCACGGTGTATAATGCATGCCGAGGAAGCCGGTCAACGGGACTACGGAGGACATGGCCTAGCTAACGTAAGTGATTAAGCTTCAGTAAATACTCGAGTGAAGAACCACTAACTTCCTTGCCAAAAACCAACGCAGAAATCAGCATTGCTCACACGGTATTGCCATCAGATGTTAGCAAGACTCCACAAGCACCGGTGGTCAAACACGGCAAAGCGTATAGTAACACTGTCCTTACCGCAGCTTTATACAATCTACCTTTCAAAGACAGGCTATCCCGCCGTTTCTATAGATGGTTGAGTCAATGAAAAGCTGCAAGGGCCTTGTTGATACGTGAAGCGACTTTCGCAGTGATGTGACAACGAGAGCTGACACAGCTCTCAAGTGAACCGAGCCACCAAGTCTAGTGAGTGTTCGGTGATACCTAGAACAGAAGTTGTGTCGGTCCAGTCCTGCAGCAGTACTTTGCACTTTGAAGGTGCAAAGCACATGACGCATCGTTCAGCGCTACGCGTCAGTCTACACAGTAGCGTTTGCATAGCCAGTGCGTCAGACCCAAGGAGGGTTATGTCGCCTGCATGCTCCAGGTTTGTTAGTCGCTAACCTGGCAGAACAACCACTAGGGCAGTTTGAAAGAACCGAGTCATTCATGATCATTTCGAGAACAAGGTTGAAGAGGGAAGCAGATATAGGACAACCCTGGCGAACCCTACTTGTCGTGGGGAACTCAGGAGACGGTTTCCTGTAGACCCTTGACCCTAGGGAGTCACGGTAGAGACTGCATAATAGAAAGGCATTTTGCCGGGCACACCCATCATGGATAGGCAGTGCACTAGTTGGCACGGTCAACAGAGTCGGTGGCTTTCAAATAAACGAAAACTACCATAGTCGGTCACATGTATGTATCTCTGCTCTAAAACTTGGCAAAGCAAATATGTGCTCGATACAATCACGACCAGAGCGAAAGCCAGCCTGACTTTTCGTGATTCGGTTCTCATGCGGACCAGTAGGTGGTCGGAGAATGAAACCTGTGAGAAACCTGGAGGCAATGGAAAAAGGACTAGTGTATCGGTGAATTTCGCACAAAGTACGCTGACCCTCCTTGAAAATGCTCACTGCAGTTGACAGCCGCCAGTTATAAAGGCACCTCTTCAGTAATTCAAATCATGTCAGACAGAGAAGCAAGTGTAGTAAACAAAGAGTCACCACCATCTTACAGTAAAGACATAAGAAGTTCATGGGATCCAGGAGTTGTTTCGTTTCAACACGGAAAGCTCATATCCAATCTCTTCCAAAAAGTGAGGTGTGGCATCCACTTCCGACTTTACCTCAGGTGATTCGGCAAGCGACAGTGTCGAAGAAGGCCTGCTGGACTGCTCTTCAAAATGTTCCGCCCAACGGCCCAGTCGAGGACGCTGAGAATGGATCAACTGTACAACTTTCGCAGCTATTGTTTCACTATGTAATGACTTTCTCAGACCTGTGTCCCGGATGATCTGGAATAGCATTTGCTTTCTTCATCTCACGGACTCTTGCCATCCACCAAGGCTCCTGATCAATTCGAAAATTTCTTGTCAGACTTCCTTTCAGTGAGTTACGGAAACGTTGAAACCCAGTGCCCATCGGAACCTGTTTCCGCACTTCGATCAAATTGATAGATGCTTCAGACATTCATTCACAGTTACGGCGTATCAAGTTGGGTGCACACCATGCGTAAAAGCTAATTTTTACTGCACACTTGAGACGATCCCAGTCGGCGTTCGGCTTACCAACCTCACCCATCACTGATAATTGGTGAACCAGTTCGTTATGATATTGTCTAACTGAAGAGTGCGAGTTCAAGTTAGGTAGGTTAGAAGATAGGCACTCCTTTGAAGCGAGAAGAGTGAAAGTCAGGCGTGCGCGCACTAGAGCATGGTCGGAATCCAGACATGTCATGCAAACTGGTCGACAGTCTTGGACTGATGTAAGCCATCTGTAGCTGATGAGGTGGGCGATTTGGGTCCAGGTCACTGATGAATTATGCGGGCGCCAAGTGACGCGGTGTGAACGTTTGTGCTGGAAAGCAGTACTGCTAAGGTAAAAGTTGTGGTCGGCGCACATATGCAGGAATGGGTCATCATTGTATGATTGGCGGCCTCCTAGGTGTTGTTTGGAGTTCAACTAGCGACCCAACTGGACATTTATGTCACCAGCAAAAATCAAAATGTCAGTATCCTTCGGCATACGAATAAGAAATGAGAGCTTTTGATAGAAATAGACTTTAATACCCTCTGAACCACATTCAATAGAGGCATAAACTGAAGCGATAAAAAGTTCCTTGTATTCAGACGCTGCTTACCAACTCTAAGGAAGGTTCGAGGTCGAACCCCACACATGGGGCTGTTCACCGGTATCAAGTAGAGCAGGGTGTCTTCAGCTTGTTTGCTAAGGGTAATACCAACGCCTTAAATACCTTGAGCCATTGACTCAGTATCACCGGAGACGCGAACAGGGTAACCATCGTAGCTAGATTCAGAACCAGGGAGTCGAAGATTTGTCACGACGCCATTATCTTGTGGCTCCCATCCACATGCCTCCCGGTCTTATTCCTTCGGGTTTACACTGGACATCGGATGTGTGGTTGGAGCTGTGGGTGGTGCAGCGCAAGCCACCCATGGTCCCTATGTAGGCACAGGCGTCCTGTGGCTGGCCACAGTGACAGGCAAATCCGAAACCGGATGCCGCCAACCAATCGTGTATATATATATATATATATATATATATATATATATATATATATATATATATATATATATATAGAGAGAGAGAGAGAGAGAGTGCTGTAAGCTGGTCGACCTGACCTAGAGTGCAGCCGTTTAAATGAAATGTGTCTAGGTTTGATAGAAGAGCTATATGTTTCGATGGCATCATCTGCCAGGTCAGCTGCAGCCTCTTGCTCAATGGATGGAAAAGAAGAGAGGGGAGAGAGAAAAACAAGGTAGTATTGTTGATGTGGTCTAGAGGGTAGATGACATTTTCCGGATGCACATTGAAAGAGGAGACTTGTTCGAGGTGTCTGCCTCTAGCCTATAACTCAACATTCTGATCCACAAGGCAGTGGGGTACATAAAGGTTCGTTTGCGGGACTCCTTAAGGAGTCTTTGGCTACATAGCCTGATCCAGTAGTTACATACTCTATCGGACTTAGAGATAGCAACAATGTCTCGGAATCGGCTTCTGGTGTCCAATCACAAATGATCTCACTGAAAAATAGGAAATCTTTCGATGCTTGTTGGAGTAACCATGTGCCTATTTCCTTACGGTAGAAAGTAAACAATGTGGATCAAGCAAGTCTGAATCCTTATGGCCGAAATGAACCTGATTAGCCGACCGTCAAACAACTAAGGGTAAGGCTTGAAGAGAGCATGACAACTGATGCTACACATCCGGTACAGGAATATTGGATCAGCCGCACAGAGGTCGCCCAACACACTTAGTATACAACGGTAAATGACAACGACATAAGTAGCCTTTTCGACACTGAGTAAAACAAGTTTGCGAACAGTCCCGATATTGATTGCACTGATAAATTGGCGTAAGCAGTTGTTTGGTGACTCATAATTCAACGGCTTCAGCTAAGCGATTTAACGTTTAAGGGCTAGGTGAATGACAAAACCGACCTACCGGAATGGCCCATAATACTTCATCGTGAGTATCGAGCTGGACAGAATCGCGGACGTCCCGTAAAAGAGAGAGCGCCCAAGATGTGGTAGAATCGGATTGGGCAGAAATGCGCTCCAAGTCTATCGCAGTATTTGGTTGTTCGTCATCGTTCTCCAAAACAGAGCACGTACAATCACACTGGCAACAACAAAACGGAAAATCAGAAGTCGCAGTTAGGTAACACCGATGACATCAAATGTGAAACCTTGAAAAGCAGTGATGCACACTTGCACAAAAGATCAGTGATGGTTTTGGTAAGTGTTACACTGGCTTTAACCGAATCGAAAAGCGATATCATATGAGTACGAATACGAAAAGGTGCGGTGATTATCACGAGCAAAAAGGTAGTGTGACCGGAGTTACTCCGGTGATATGAAGCCAAGGAGTAGTGAGTTGCATTTCACATAGGCAAGGTCTAGCAATTGCGGATTCAGACAAAAATGCGCAAATCCGTCTCTAACTATCCTCAGGAAGCAGGAAAACAGAAGGCTGGGTCACCTAGCAAAAGGGCCATTGGAAAAAGTGATACTTAAACGAAGTAACATGATGGTATCCGTAAGCGACAAATCACTTGGAAGCTTTGAACGAACTCGTTTCCACCAGAATCAACAACAAGACCGGTAATTTTAAATGTGATAAATGCATCTCGATGGTTAGAGCTAGTAGAAATCTTACTACTTAACGTGTGAACCAGAGAATGAAACAATGCCATCATGATAACCGCGAATGACTTGCTGGGATTCCTCAAGTAACAAGGATTTTTCAGGGCATGATCCAAAGCAAGTGTGATGAGCCTTGTACTACAAATTTCAGACTTCATTCCAAAGCGAAGATTGTCCAGTACTTCCACTTCAAAAACAGCTGTCGATAACGGCACTCAACCCTACACTCTAAAACAAGGAAACCAATATTGGACCGTTGCTGTGTATGGCACTCAATACTTCTCTCTGTCGCAGGACTCGGTCCTTCAGGGACAAACAGTTTATACAGCAAAGTGAGCTAAGCAAAAATGACAGCCTGACCAACAAGTAGGAAGCTGGATATAAATAACTGTCATTTCTACAACTAACGACGTTGATGTAATCATGAGATTAATCCTTTGAATCTGTTAAACAAAACTGCTCCAGCGAGCCAATCAGCGCATATACGAAACATGTGTAGCTGTCCAATCAACTACTCTGTTCGTATGCGGCACGCTTGCCGCTTGCTTACACAATCCTAGCACATCCTTCCATTTTTCGGGATCAGCTGCATCGGTGTCGGAGATGATTCCGTACGCCCTTTCTCTCCGCGTCGTCTATGCTGCGCCCGTCGTTTTGACCCTTTCGTAAGGCGTCAAGTGTTTTGCTGCAGGTCCACCTTCACGTTCCCCGTGTCGCCACAGCTGCACTCGGTTCCTTCTGATTATCATCCCACCGGTACTGATTTTATAATATCTTTCTCCAACCTTCGCGGTCAGCACACCATTTTTCCATCGTTCGCTGACACCCGGTATTGTTTGGATCCACACTTCATCATTTACTGATAGCTCCGGTAGCGCCCAGGTCCCGCGGTCATAATACCGTTTCGGATCTGTCATCCGTTTTCTTAAGCCTCTTTACAGTTGCCTTTGCGATGGCGAAACAGGGTGTAGTTCAGCAGTCGTAGGCATTAGGGTTCTTATCCTTCTGCTAGAAAAATGTACTGGACTGAGACCGATGTTCGGTAACCGCGTATTGGGATACGGGTTCTTATGTGTGGCTCTGGCTTTCGACAACCTCTTGGCTTATTTGACCGCTGCCTCTCCTTTTCCGTTAGACTGAATGTGATACGGGTTGGTTTGTCGATGCGAATATTTCCACTTGTTCGCGAAGGTCTGGAACGCAGACCTTGTAAACTACGGGCCATTGACGGAGATCACTTCTTTCGGTATTCCGTGTCTGGCAAAGTAACATTTAAGCTTGTTGATAACTGCTTCCGTGGTGGTAGCAGCGAGTGGGTCGATCTCAAAACAATCACTGTAATGGTCCACAGTGATTAAATAGTCCTTCCCGTTGTCACAGAACAAGTCCACCGCTAATTTCTGCCATGGCCGATCTGGGATCTCACGCAACATCATTGATTCCCTGGCTTGGCGAACGTCGTGGGACCGAAAGGCTGAACAGCTTGATACATGGTCACGGATTTGACTTACAAGTCAAATCCCGGGCCAGAACATCCGTTCGCGTGCTCTACGAGCACTGTAGTTAACACTCAAATGGGCACGATGGGCGTGGTCTAGCATTTATATGCGAAGCGGCGGTGGGATCAAAATGTGATTTCCTTGAAAAAACAAACCGGCACACGCCGTTAGTTCATCCCGAAAGTTGAGGAACGGCGTTAACTCCTTCGGAAGTTTATCCTTTGTATCTGGCCGTCCTACAAAATCACGGCGCGCAACGCCACGCACGTCACGTCTGCCTCCGTATGGCGCTTTAATTCCTTCAGGCGATCTGTCATTACCGCCAGAGGTTGACTGCTTCGTTCTTGTTTCTGTACGAATATCGGAAGATAAGCTCTCGACAGTGCGTCCGCGATAAATATTTGCGTCCCCGGAGTGTACATCAGATCCATAGCTGTAGTATGATAGAACGCCAGAGACCAACGAGTATAGAACCAAGACTTGGAAATTCAGGCTTTATTCGTCTGTGAATGTAGACGAGAGCTGAAAGTATAAAGAACAGGGAAAGTGTATTGGCAACGATAAATATGGAGAGGAATAATACCACATTCTACCCCACTGAAGTTTTGAAGAGTGTAGGTAGCAAAAGTGGAATGTGTTGATGGCAGAAACAGTGTATGAGAACAGTTTTTGGACACAATTGCCTTGTGTGTATTAAAGTTTCACCGAAGTAAAGATATCTAGTGTTTAGACTTTTTGGTTTCTGAGGCAATATGGACATACGCGCTGTTGATGGGTCTCAAGTTCACTCCTTGTAGATGGCGCTTAGGCAAATTTTGGTTTAGAATGGCCTGGAATCGTGTTCTCTTCGTTGTGTAAGCAAGTCTGTTCATCATGTCGGGGTGTGATCGCTTTTTCTGAACCGGTGTTACTCGTGTCGTCTTGTTCGAGCGGGTGTTCACCAATGGGAGCCAGTTGTTGGATTGAAACGGTCTCCTCTTTCCCGTTTGATAATCGGACATGTGCATACTTAGGGTTACACTCCATAAGTTGCACTTGTTCCACAAGAGGGTCGAAGTTGGAGGATCAGACATATTTTCTTAACAAGACAGGACCCGGTGATGACAGCCAGGTAGGGATGGAGAAGCCAGACGAAGACCTTCGATTATGCCTGAAAAATCTCTCGTGCGGAGTTACGTTTGTTGCAGTACACAGTGATCGAATTGAATGTAATGTGTCCCGTATGATTGTCTCCCACTGATCAAGTGGGAGGTCGCGAGAGAGTAGGAGGACAGAAATGGTTCTCCATAGTGTTCCGTTCAGGCGTTCATCCTGCACATTAGCTTGTGGGTGATAGGTGGTTGTTCGGCTCGTTGCTATTCCCTTGTTGTGAAGAAAATTACGCAGTTCAAGGGACATGAAAGAGGAACCTCGATCTGGGTGAATGTAGGCTGGCAACCCAAACATCGAAAAGAGTTGACAGAAGCAGTTAACCACGGTGGAAGAGGATAAGTCAGAGCATGCAAAATCGAATGGAAAACGGGAACACTCATCCACGATTGTTAATAGATAGCGGTTTCGGGAGTTAGACGGAACCGGGTCTTTAAAATCAACAACGAGGCGCTCAAAAGGTTGGGTTACTTTCACAAGTTGTCCCAGTCAGGGCTGCACAAACCTTGGTTTCAGCTCACAACAAGCAGTACAATTTGAAATCATTGACTTGATTTCGGTCACAGAATAAGAAAGATTTTTGGCACGGACAAAGTGGAGCATGCAAGTTATGCCCGAGTGACACAAAGTCATGGAGTTAAGTTCAGGTTGCCAGACGAACTGCTGCAACAGACAGGTGAGAATGTATGGGTTACCTGATTGAACTAGCCGGGTCGGTATATAACATCGTAATGAAAGGGTGCAAGTTCGAGCCGCAAACGCTGTACTTTGTCGTTTTTAATTTTTTTTCTGATTCATACTATTGTACATGAGGGAGACAGAACGCTGGTCTGTGACCAGTTCGAAATGGTTACCAAGCAGTAGATGTTACCATTTTCGCACAGCTTCCACGATAGCATAGACTTCCTTTTCCAATGATGAATGTCCCACTCTCCTTTAGATTTTCGAAGGATTTCTGGACATATGGTGGTGTAGGGAATGACGTGTTGTGAGCGAGTGGGTTGACCTTGTCAGAGAATTGTGGTATACATTGGGAGTAGTAATCAAACATCCCTACCACTCTCCGTTGGACCTTGATGTCAGTGCGAGGAGACAGTTCTTGCAAAGGCCTCAGTCGTTCAGGGTCGGGCTTAATTATTCCTTTGGAGATCTCATACCCCAGAAGCTTAACGCGTTGGGCCCCGAACACGCTTTTTGTGTCATTAAAGGTTATTCCGTAGTTGGAAACAACGTTCAAAAAAGGATCTAAATTCCGCCAATGTTCAACTGCATCGTTACCACAAATGGTGACGTCTATAAAGGCAAACGTATCAGTTAGATTTTCTTTGGAGCAAAAGACGCCATTAGTTACTCTGAAAGGTATAGGACAAAATTGGTAAAGTTTGCCATAGGCCTCAAAAGCCGTATACAGTCTTTTCTTCGCTTTGATAGGGATTTAGTGATAAGCACTCTTTAGATCCAAGGTACTGAATGTATCAAAGGTAGCGATCTTTTGGACCATTTCATCCAGTTTAGGAAGAGGATAAGCGTCGAGGTGGGTGAGCCGATTTATTGTTTGGCTGTAATCTATGACCATGCGTCCTTTGTACCTTCCGTTAGTATTGACTAGCACCTGAGCTCTCCATGGGGCAAAGGATGGCTCGATGATGCTTTCCTGCAGGAGACGGTTTAGTTCGGAACGAATGAAAGTATCAGCAGTGGGACTGTGCCGTCTGGAATTCGTCGCTATGGGATTGCGCTCCGGTGCAAGGTTACGGAAGAGTAATGTGGCTTCAACTTTTGCGCTGGTGAGGGTGCAGACAGACAGGGGGCTTCTTGCCACCGAACG